GGATCCCATATAGGGATGGCTGGTTTGCTCACTGGCTGAGCGTGGTGCTGACAACACCAAGCCAAGGGTTGAGATCCCCTTACCAGTCATCTTTAAAAAAAAAAAGAATATAGGGTTCTAAAACCTTGCTTAAACTGGTTATACACTGAATTCAAATTTCTTTAAGACAGAAGAATATTAGAGACAGATTAACCACTTACATATAATAAATAAGTTATACAATTTCCCCAAGAAATAAATGTTTATCTTTCACTGATAACCAGAACATATGAGTTAACTAGTTCATACCTGGTGCCTACCTCCCCTCAATAATTAAATGCCATTATACTCTTCACTCGACAGTCCATTTTGTAATGAACTGATTTCGTAATCTACCTACCCCAGTTGTGGTACCTTGGTAGATTCTACTCCTAACTTTCCTACCTTGTCTGAAACCAGAGTCCTTTAAGGTAACCCTTCTTTTCCACTTTGGACAAAACCACCTAATTCCAACAGGCACCAAAGCAAGCGAGGAAAAGAGAGTGTTAAAAGAAGGGTAGCTCACCTTTAGCTGGAGCAAGGGAGGGAAAGAGATTGTTAAGAGAAGTGTAGCTCACCTTTAGCCGGAGGGAGGGACGAAAGTAGAAAAAGTGGTGAAAAGAGTATAAGCAGCTGACCTTTTACAATAATGACTGTAGCAACAGCAAGACTGGTAAATAAGAGCTTAGCCTCACCTGGGCTTTAATCCCAGAGTTGCCATTGACAATGTATTTCTTCTTATTGCTCAGCATAGTGACATTACCAGCCCTACTGCCACTTCTCTAGTCCAGGGACCCTTGTGGCCAGGCCTTTAAACTTTCTTCATCAGCAATTCTGTTGGCTCTGGCTCCAGCTAGCTTTTTGGTGTGGGGGAGGGGATCGCTACCCTTCCTTGGAATCCCTGAAGCAGCTCCAACAACCTTTCAGCAGTAAAGCCCCAATTTAATAAGGCATTTCTGTTAGTGGCTCATCAGCCATTCTTAATTCTGGTGGCTGTTTTGTTTTTATTTTTTTTTTCCTAAACACCTAATTACATGAATCCTCTGACCTCTAAACTTTAACAAGCCCCTTGACAAGGCCCAACTTGCATGCACATAACAATAGCTTATTTATATAACCTGTGCACTTTTTTGCCTGCTATAATTAAC